ATAATTGAAGCTTTGACGTCATGTGTATGTCATGCTATTTAATTACTTTATGTACAATTGAAGCCATAATTGAAGCCTTGATATAGCCATAATTGAAACTTGATATAGCCATAATTACTTTATGTACAATGTTCAATATATCATGATCAAACTTTATGTACAATGTCATGCTTTGTCGTAGTTTATTTAGTATCAAAAAGTTTTTAAAACTTAGAAAATACACAAATCAATGATAGCTTAACTTATGTCATTATATTGTAAATAAAAAAGGTGAGGTCTAACGTCATATAGATAGTTTCGTTAATATTAATAAATTAATATAAAACAGGATAATATTAAATTCAATATATATACTTCTCTTTTTTCTAAAGAAAAATAATGTCATTGTATAACATATCAAACATATCTAAAATGTCAAAAGGCTAATCTTAATCTATTTTGGGTTTAATTAAATTTAATGGAAATGTCTAAAATGATATTTTCAATCCCATTGATTCAAAATCTGATCTAATTGGAATAAGTAAGATTTGTCAAGTGTCGATTTCTTCCATTTAATTACATGGCATGATAATTACTTTATGTACAATGTTCAATATATCATGATCAAACTTGATATAGCCATAATTGAAGAAGAAAAGTAAATGAGATAAAAAATTTATTTTTATTTTTATCTCACTAAAATATGTCTAGACTAAATCAGATAAGATTGAAACAATTTCATATCCTATCATATTATAAGTTTTTTCAATAGAAACCTATGAGCTTATAGCTTTTCTTTAATGGATTCTNCACTAAAATATGTCTAGAGTAAATCAGATAAGATTGAAACAATTTCATATCCTATCATATTATAAGGTTTTTCAATAGAAAACTATGAATTATAGCTTTTCTTTAATGGATTCTATAGGGATACGTTGTCATATAAAAAGTTACAATTCCACTTTTTTCTTCACCATATAAACCATTCAATAAGTTTTTTAATTTTTAATTGAACACATTTTCATGATATCTTCTTGATTGTTATTTAAAAGGTCTCAAAAATTGTGTTCTATTTCGATAAATGTATTTGCAAGTCTTCAAATGAGTATAATAGCTCACATATTTATTACATGAGTTAAATTAAGAAAATACTTATCGGACTACGAAACTAGCGTTAACAAGTTAGTGTTTGTCAATGAATTTATATTTAAAAACTTATAATTAATTATTTTTAAAATAGAATTTTTAATTTACAATTTTTTAATACAGGGTAATGTTATTTTTATTTAAAATAATATTTACCGTCCGTACGACCTGATCGTCTTATATTATAATAATTTGTAAACTAAATATTATATAAATAAACTTGATAAATAAATTTATTTAATTAACATATTATAATTCTATAATTTTTCATTTAAGATTGATAGGTAAATTATTTTTCTTTATAAATTATATATAGCTATTTTTATTTTATATGTTCAATATGAATATAAACTTGAATTTGTGGAAATATCAATTAATTCAATATACATTTGTCGTAGTTTATTTCGTATCAAAAAGTTTTTAAAACTTAGAAAATACACAAATCAACGATAGCTTAACTTATGTCATTATATTGTAAATAAAAAGGGTGAGATAAGAAGAAAAGTAACTGAGATAAATAAATTTATTTTTATTTTTATCTCACTAAAATATGTCTAGACTAAATCGGATAAGATTGAAACAATTTCATATCCTATCATATTATAAGGTTTTTCAATAGAAAACTATGAGCTTATAGCTTTTCTTTAATGGATCCTATAGGGATACGTTGTCATATAAAAATTTACAAATTCCACTTTTTTCTTCACCATATAAACCATTCAATAAGTTTTTTAATTTTTAATTGAACACATTTTCATGATATCTTCTTGATTGTTATTTAAAAGGTCCCAAAAATTGTGTTCTATTTCGATAAATGTATTTGCAAGTCTTCAAATGAGTATAATAGCTCACATATTTATTACATGAGTTAAATTAAGAAAATACTTATCGGAATACGAAACTAGCGTTAACAAGTTAGTGTTTGTCAATGAATTTATATTTAAAAAATTATAATTAATTATTTTTAAAATAGAATTATTAATTTACAATTTTTTAATACAGGGTAATGTTATTTTTATTTAAAATAATATTTACCGTCCGTACGACCTGATCGTCTTATATTATAATAATTTGTAAACTAAATATTATATAAATAAACTTGATAAATAAATTTATTTAATTAACATATTACAATTTTATTATTTTTCATTTAAGATTGATAGGTAAATTATTTTTCTTTATAATATATATATAGCTATTTTTATTTTATATATTCAATATGATTATAAACTTGAATTTGTGGAAATATCAATTAATTCAATATACATTTGTCGTAGTTTATTCCGTATCAAAAAGTTTTTAAAACTTAGAAAATACACAAATCAATGATAGCTTAACATATGTCATTATATTGTAAATAAAAAAGGTGAGGTCTAACGTCATATAGATAGTTTCGTTAATATTAATAAATTAATATAAAACAGGATAATATTAAATTCAATATATATACTTCTCTTTTTTTAAAAGAAAAATAATGTCATTGTATAACATATCAAACATATCTAAAATGTCAAAAGGCTAATCTTAATCTATTTTGGGTTTAATTAAATTTAATGGAAATGTCTAAAATGATATTTCCAATCCCATTGATTCAAAATCTGATCTAATTGGAATGAGTAAGATTTGTCAAGTGTCGATTTATTCCATTTAATTACATGGCATGATAATTACTTTATGTACAATGTTCAATATATCATGATCAAACTTGATATAGCCATAGTTGAAGCTTTGACGTCATGTGTATGTCATGCTATTTAATTTAGGAGTTTGTTGAACGTACTCAATTTTCCTAAAAAAAGGTCCGACTGAAATTTGTGTTGATAATAAGTCGGTAATACTATTGGCGAAGAATATGGTGTTTCTCGAGAGGAGCAAGCATGTCTATACAAAGTACAATTTTATTCAAGATTGTATCTCCAAGAAAGAAGTGAAGTTGGAGTACGTGAAGTCGCAAGATCAAGTCACGGATATCTTCAAGATGCTGTTGAAGCTCGATGTATTCAAGACTTTGTGCTTTTCTCGTGGAATGAGGAATTTAGTTTAAGAGGAGGTGTTGAATTAATAAACTAAAATTAATACATCATGAAGTAACTTAATCTATTGATGCATTTAGACAGTTTAGTTTCAGATATTAATAAATAACATTAATAAGTTTTGAGGTATAAATTTAAACATTGAGGTGAAACGTAGGACAATTGCATGGGAGTTTAAAGGCATTTTTTGGCTATACTAGAGTCATTTAAGAGTTGAGAATAATTCAAGAAATAAAATTTTTAGTTTCCTCCTGTTCCATTTTCTAACAAAGCACATAACAATGCTATGTGCTTACGTGTCTTCGTTCCCGATAACGATGGCCATTATCCTAAATTAATCAGTAGTCATCAACGAAGGTTTTATATTCTCAATGACTCCAGATTTTCGTGCTAATTGTATTGTTTAAACTTACTGTAAATCAATTACCAAGTCTTTTCCATTTATGAAGAGAGTCCCTTGCAAGGTGACGTTTTTATTCGATAGCATAGCATATGACTTTATTTTATTTAAACAAGACCATTCATTCACAACTCATCGTGACCATAATAATCCTCCACGCTTTTACATGACATCCTGTTGAATGCTAGTTCCTCTCCCTCCAGGTCAAAAGCAATGTTGAAATTCTGCTGCATCACATTTCCGAGTATGGTGGTATTTCTCCTGAGTAAAGATGACGGAAGGATCGCGAGGCAGAAAAGATTATCATCGGCCTCAAAGAACACATTATCCGGTGTCAACTCCATGTATGCTCGGTTCTGGAAATGCAACGTCACTTTCGGGAACGGTTCGAGATAAATGGCCTCCCCTATATAGCACTGCGTTGAGTATCCTCGAAATTTTTTGGAGAAAGGGGACAAGCGGAGATTTAGCTTCTTGATCACACTCCTCGTTATCTTCTCGAACTCGGTCAGCACTATCTGTGGGAGGAAGGTGAGAGTCGAACCGGAGTCCACCAACATCCCGCCCTCACCTTTCCTTTTATCCCTCCTAAAGAGATGGCGGCTGGTCTTCAGCCATATGTGCCCGATGGCAATATCCACGAGGTTCACGTAGTACTTGTCCTCGACCGTCAGTGGGGTTCGTGCACCCCACATCCTGACATCTTTTCCGATAGCAAGCATGTTGTAGGGGTATTCCGGATCGTTCAAGTTCCCGAAGCAGTACGAGAACTTGGAGGCTTTGTACTGTGAAAGGAAGGAGATAGGGATATTGCCCAACCCGAAGATCCCGTTCAAGTCCTCGACGCTGGTGTTGTGAGCGCACCCAAAGGCGAGGTTCGGGACCACCTCGTCCTGGTGCTTGCCAAATCTGAACGTTTCCCGACCGAGATTCCCCTTGCAAAAGGTGGTTCCATACCTCACCTAATGAATAGGTTGTAGAAGAGACAAGGAAAAATTTTCTATTTGATGAATGTTATGAATAGTGTTAATTGTTGTTTTCACTCCAATCCAATATTTTAAGTTTTTTAGTTCAAACATTGAAAAGTTATCTTTTACACCATGCAAAAAAGAACATTGTGCAATCAATGATTACACTGTCATTAATTGGTATAATGCTAAAAAGGCATAATGCGTCAAGTGATTGCATGATGCATGATGCGGAAAATATTTTATAGTTATATATTGGAGTGAAGAGAAATTGCCCCAATATTAATAAGCAAANTAGGAAATCTCATTTCCTTCCCAATGCCTTCCAAATAAGAAAGCTAAAGTAAAACGAGTAAGTGTCCTTTTCAACCAACTTTTGAACAAGGCTCTATAGTAAAAAGAATTAGGTCACTTAAGTGCTATATTATTGAAGCACTTTGGTAACAATTCTTTTAAAAGAATACTCATAAATTGTTAGCTTAAAAAAGTTACAACTTTGACTCATACAAATAAATTTTATAAAAGATAATTTATTCAAAAGTTCATCCCATATAAATCACCAAACATTCATTTTTGTGGAGTTCACATATTGATAATTTGAAAACTGATCTCAAACAATAACTAAAGAGTCCATACCAATGTTCTAAAAGTCGCTAAGAGCTCGTCAGATGATGGTTTAGCGCTTAACACCTAAGCGGAGTTGTGAATCAATTTATTTATATTTATCATCATGCATAATTTATAATATTAATATTATAATATATATATATATATGTTAATTAATATAATAAATACAAACATTATGCAAAAATTAATGCATCGTAATTATTTATTAGTTTTCATAAGATCATTAATACTTTTTTATTTATATAACTAGTAATCAACATGTGCATTTGCACAGAGACGAATACTTTAAAAACATAAAAATATAATTCTCAAAATTGATTTTGATCAAGTAATTGCTATGGAAGAGCCGTTACAACCATTTTCACCATTTTTTTATGCTAATACTCCGCCATTTTCATGAATGTGTGTGACATAAAATTTGAGTATAATTTTGTAATTCCCTTGATTGGTTTATGATCATAATTTATTACATTCAAGCAAGTTATTTTGTAACTTAAAAATGAAATTGAATGCTGAAAATTTTGGAGGGAGAATAAAATTTAATGCATGGTAATAAAATTAAATGCTTTGTTGCTCCTCTTTATATTTATGTATATAATAAAAAAATTATAAGTTATATAATTGTATTATATTTCAAACATATAGTATTATAAGTTATATTTATGTATATAATATCAAAATTATAAATTATATAATAGTATTATATTTTAAAATTTGATCATTGGTTAAATAAATAGTACACACGATTTGATTGTATACTAATCACTATATTGATTGCATAAAATGTAATAAATATACACTTTTTATAATTTTGAGTGATCATGACCAATTAATTAGCTGAAAAATATTACATTTATTATAACAATTGCTTATGTGATTTTAAGAAATTTTACTATGACAAAAAAAAAAAAAAAAAAAAAACTTATTGAACGGTTTATATGGTGAAAAACAAGTGGGTTTGTACTTTTTGATATGTCAATGTAACCAATAGAATCTATTAAGAAAAAGTTGTAACCTCATTGTTTTGTATTGGAGAACCTTATAAATAATTGGATATGAAATTGTTTCAATGTTATCTGATTTAATTAATATATATTTTTGTGAAATAAAAATAAAAAATAAATTTTTTTATCTCATCTCACCTTTTTATTTACAATCCCAATGACATAATTTAATTATCAATGAATAAGATTTCTAGTTCTTTATAGGATACCCGTACTACTGGAAAATTTCCCAATATTATTTATTGATAGATAATTAATTTTAGTTTTCATGTATAAAATTTGCAACATTTTATGTTTATTGATAATAATCGATAACTAATTAATTAAGGTTGTTTATTTTTTAATTTACAAAAATACATTTAGTTGTGGAATATCAATGGTTTTTTGCGGATCCATAGGTATATCAGTAGGATAAGAAAGATATAGTAATAATTATTATGGTCACTTTTATACTTATTAATTATCATTGATTTGTTGAATTTTTATGTTTTAGAGCATTTTCATACTAAATACATTATGACAAATGTATATTAAATTGAATGATATTTTCACATATTCAAATTGATATGAATGTTGCATGTATAAAATAAAAATAATTATATACTTTTATAAAGACTAATTAAATTACCTATCAATATTAAAAGAAAAGGTAATAAATTATAATTTATTTATAAAATAATTTTAACTATCAAACTTATTTATATAATATTCAGTAGACAAACTATGATAACATAAGACGATCAAGTCTTACGGAAGGTAGATAATTAATTTTAGTTTTCATGTAATATTTTATATTATAATAAACTTTGTAACATTTCATGTTTATCTACATGTATCGATAACTAATTAATTAATCTTGCCCATTTTACAATTTATAAAAATACATTTAGTTTTGGAATAAAAATGATTCTTTGCGATCCATAGGTATAGGTAGGATAAAAAGGCAACATTAATAATTATTATAGTCACTTTAGGTATTATTGATTTGTTGATTTTCTATGTTTTAGAGCATTTTCAATACTAAATACACTATGAGAAATGTATATTAAATTAAATGATATTTCCACATATTTAAATTGATATTCATACTAAATATATAAAATAAAAAAATATATTTTTATAAAGAAAAAATAAATTACCTATCAATATTAATTGAAAATAATAGAATTATAATATGTTAATTAAGTAAATTTATTTATCAAGCTTATTTGTATAATATTCAGTTGATAAATTATTATATTATAAGACGATCAAGTCTTGCGGATGGTAAGCATTATTTTATATAATACCCTTTATTAAAAAATTTGTCAATAAATTTATATTTAAAAAATTATAATTAATTATTTTTAAAATAGAATTATTATTTTATAATTTTTTTAAAAAAGGGTAATGTTATTTTTATTTAAAATAGTATTTACCATCCGTAAGACTTTATTGTCTTATATTATAATAAGTTGTAAGCTAAATTTTATATAAAGAAATTTGGTGCATAAATTTATTTAATTAACATATTATAATCTTATTATTTTTCATTTAAGATTGATAGGTAATTTATTTTTCTTTATAAAATATATATAACTATTTTTATTTTATATATTCAATATGAATATAAATCTGTATTTATGGAAATATCAATTAATTCAATATACATTTCTCGTAGTTTATTTCGTATCAAAAAGTTTTTAAAACTTAGAAAATACACAAATCAACGATAGCTTAACTTATGTCATTATATTGTAAATAAAAAAGGTGAGATAAGAAGAAAAGTAACTGAGATAAAAAATTTATTTTTATTTTTATCTCATTAAAATATGTCTAGACTAAATCAGATAAGATTGAAACAATTTCATATCCTATCATATTATAAGGTTTTTCAATAGAAAACTATGAGCTTATAGCTTTTCTTTAATGGATTCTATAGGGATACGTTGTCATATAAAAATTTACAAATTCCACTTTTTTCTTCACCATATAAACCATTCAATAAGTTTTTTAATTTTTAATTGAACACATTTTCATGATATCTTCTTGATTGTTATTTAACAGGTCCCAAAAATTGTGTTCTATTTCGATAAATGTATTTGCAAGTCTTCAAATGAGTATAATAGCTCACATATTTATTACATGAGTTAAATTAAGAAAATACTTATCGGAATACGAAACTAGCGTTAACAAGTTAGTGTTTGTCAATGAATTTATATTTAAAAAATTATAATTAATTATTTTTAAAATAGAATTATTAATTTACAATTTTTTAATACAGGGTAATGTTATTTTTATTTAAAATAATATTTACCGTCCGTACGACCTGATCGTCTTATATTATAATAATTTGTAAACTAAATATTATATAAATAAACTTGATAAATAAATTTATTTAATTAACATATTATAATTTTATTATTTTTCATTTAAGATTGATAGGTAAATTATTTTTCTTTATACATTATATATAGCTATTTTTATTTTATATATTCAATATGATTATAAACTTGAATTTGTGGAAATATCATTTAATTCAATATACATTTGTCGTAGTTTATTCCGTATCAAAAAGTTTTTAAAACTTAGAAAATACACAAATCAATGATAGCTTAACATATGTCATTATATTGTAAATAAAAAAGGTGAGGTCTAACGTCATATAGATAGTTTTGTTAATATTAATAAATTAATATAAAACAGGATAATATTAAATTCAATATATATACTTCTCTTTTTTTAAAAGAAAAATAAAGTCATTGTATAACATATCAAACATATCTAAAATGTCAAAAGGCTAATCTTAATCTATTTTGGGTTTAATTAAATTTAATGGAAATGTCTAAAATGATATTTCCAATCCCATTGATTCAAAATCTGATCTAATTGGAATGAGTAAGATTTGTCAAGTGTCGATTTCTTCCATTTAATTACATGGCATGATAATTACTTTATGTACAATGTTCAATATATCATGATCAAACTTGATATAGCCATAATTGAAGAAGAAAAGTAAATGAGATAAAAAATTTATTTTTATTTTTATCTCACTAAAATATGTCTAAAGTAAATCAGATAAGATTGAAACAATTTCATATCCTATCATATTATAAGGTTTTTCAATAGAAAACTATGAGCTTATAGCTTTTCTTTAATGGATTCTATAGGGATACGTTGTCATATAAAAAGTTACAATTCCACTTTTTTCTTCACCATATAAACCATTCAATAAGTTTTTTAATTTTTAATTGAACACGTTTTCATGATATCTTCTTGATTGTTATTTAAAAGGTCTCAAAAATTGTGTTCTATTTCGATAAATGTATTTGCAAGTCTTCAAATGAGTATAATAGCTCACATATTTATTACATGAGTTAAATTAAGAAAATACTTATCGGAATACGAAACTAGCGTTAACAAGTTAGTGTTTGTCAATGAATTTATATTTAAAAAATTATAATTAATTATTTTTAAAATAGAATTATTATTTTATAATTTTTTAAAAAAGGGTAATGTTATTTTTATTTAAAATAGTATTTACCATCCGTAAGACTTTATTATCTTATATTATAATAAGTTGTAAGCTAAATTTTATATAAAGAAATTT